TTAAAATTTATGCACAGGAAGCGTAAACTTTCACAAATACTTTAAACTTAAAGAAATTGAGACCTGTATGTAATCGTATGGTTAGATATACCTTTTCTATGTCTTTCCTTCATTATTCTTATTAAAATTAAACTTCCTTAGAGTTAACCTTTACAACGTTATCCTGCGGCAGAAACCAAAGGAGCTCCTTAGTCACTTTTCTTTTAGTAAGTCAGTGCATAATAACCATTCGTTAATTCTTCGAGTTACGTGTTCTGTGGCTAAATCCCTTCAAGTAAGAGCTATAATAGTTTACAATTCCGTACCTGTGGAGTTAAAGCAATTTATATACCCTTGTGTAACATGCAAACGTAAGCTTTTAATCTTCGCCGCTAATAATGATGTTAAGTGTGGATGTTGTATGTGTTAATAACTTTCTTATCTTAGCCTAGTCATATTCTTTTTTCTGTTGTCTTTTTACCTTCAATTTTCTTCTAGTTTCTTTTAGATTGTTTAAGAACATTATGTTTTATTGTACTTTATTATTATTATTAGTATTATTATTATTATTACAATTAATTTAGTTAGTCTATTTGAAAAATCTGCCCCCCCTTAGATTTGGACCAACGGTCATTGAGTTGTTAGCATTATTTATTTTATTAATGCAGCTATGGAACATGTTGCAACCTATCACAAGAGATCTTAATGGCTTCAACGTTACATAAGCGTCAACAAATAGCTCAACTCAACTGTACTAGCGTCCGCAATAAATACAAACAACTTGAACAATATCTCTATCGTAACGACATTTCCTTGGTTTTTCTTTCCGAAAGCTTTCTTAAACCTTATGATTCATTTTTTATTAAAAATTTGATCATATCTCCAGCTCTTGTCATGGTGGTGGTGTGGCGAGACTTATATCTAGCAAAACTGATTGAAGTGTGTAGCTATCTCATTCACACATCCCTCGGCGAGCTTTTGATCATAAGTTGTTAAATTCCAACTAATTGTAATGTTTCTCATTCTTCTGAATTAACAGCTTATTTTCTTTTAGGTCCGATACGCCCACATTGATATGTGGTGATTTTAATGCTCACAATGTGAGTTGCAGCAGCCTTCAGCTCTAATGAGCTTTGTGACAAACTCGCTGAGCATTCCGGTCCAATAATCGCCTCTACATTGCTTGGTGAGGAACGTGATAATTTTTTCTTAAACGACATATCGCGCTTCGATGTCGATAAAGCCATTAATTTCTGAAAAAATTCATCTTCAGGCTTGGATGGTATTCGTCACATTCATCTCAAAATGTTGAACATCGAAAACCGATTAATTCTACTAAAGGATTTTAACAACATTCTAATTACCGCTTATGTGCCCTCTTCCTACTATGAATTCCAAATCTTCACTTTAAGTAAAAAGAGTAGTTCCTCAGATTAATCTTGATTCCTATAGATGTATTATCTTAGTTTCTTTCCATCCTTAAAAAAATTTTCAAGAAAGTAGTATATACATGTTTACAGTGGTTTCTCAAATCTACGTTTATTCTCAGCAACTTTCAATTTGGGTATAGACGTTCCAGATCTGCCCAAGACTATTGTCATTTTGTGGTCAGCGACCAACTCAGCCTTTGCTAAGAATCATATTTTGATTGCCTGTTTTACGGACATAACTTCAGTGTCTGATTCTGCCAATATAAATATTTTAAATTCTATTCTACTCTCTTAGAATCTCTTTACCAAATTCTGTAATTTACTATATAACCTCTTTCTCTATAAAAACATGTTAATTACAGATGATGATGTTGCTGTACAAAGGAGATCTTTTACAGGTGTTTCTCAGGGATCAGTATTAAGTCCTTTTTGATTTAATTTGTATATTAATAAAATTTTCAGTTTCCTTTCCTCAAAACATCTCAATCCTGGTCTATGCTGACGATCTTGTCACTTTTATTCCCAACTCTGACCTAGATTTGTGTAATTTGCAATCTGCTCTCGACATTATTTCCTGTCGTCTTGAATCACTTCAACTCACATTTTCAGTCCACAAGACCAAATACTTGGTCTTTTCAGAAAAAAGGAGAGACCCCATGGTTACTCCTCCGCTCATCTATGGTTCTTCCAATCCGTTTGTTAAAACTTTCGACTTTTTAGGCTTTGTCCTACACTCGAAGCTTTCCCCAGCAGCTCACATTGGCTTACATGAAATATTTTTAACTCATGTATCGAAATCCATTTGTGGTATTTGTTGGGGTTCTGACCCCTCTTGACTGATTAAAATGTATCTTGGCTTAATCAGATCAAAATTAGCATACGCTTGTTCACTCTTATTGGACATCCCAAGGAAAGATCTTCTGAAATTATGCAGAATCCAATGGAAATGTGGTTATTGGTGGCATGAATTCTACCCATACATTAAGGTTGCTAAAGAAGGCAAATGCAAGAGCTAAGAGATTTCACTTACTCGCCGGTTTTTCATCTAATAAAATTCTATCTGTTGAGAATCATCCGGCCTTACCTTTCATTTACAACTTCACATCTTTCAATTCCTCTCCTTTCTTGTTTAAAATTTTTGCTGACAAAACTAACAACTTCAATATTCTAAGAACTGGTGTACATAGCTTATTCAAAATTCCTCTTGGTTCTCAATACTCTCGACAAGTAATCGAATTCTTATCAGTGAGAAAATCCACAGTTACGGCGGAGGTACACCATAGTTACTCGAACTTGGTCAATACCAAATGAGAACATTTTTCACTCAACTTTATTGGTGGATCTAAGACCGATGTTCTAGGCAGTGGCGTTTGGTTTCCATATATTAATATAGAAGCCTACTTTTCAAATCACCCATATAGCACTATATTTTCGGCTGAACGCTTTGCGATCCTGGAAGCCATCTCCTTAACGAGTACTCAGCTTCAAAAGAAATACCTTATAGTGTTAGATGATAAATACGTCCTTACGGATTTGAAACGAGATCACTACTCTATAGCCCCAAGTCTGATGCATTTTCTTTTCATTTGCTCTAGGTGCCCAGTCAAATGGGTATTGGCAACAACACTACAAATACAATTGCCTCTTCCAGACCATCTCATTTTAATGACCGTGCTGTGATTCCTGCAGATCTGACGACATTCGACAAAAGGCAACAGCAATTGGATAGATAAATCACCTTACCGTCATCATTTATACTCTTTATTTCCACAAATAAATAAAGCCCCATGTTGTATCAATTGCGCACTCAGACGTGCAATTATTTGTCTTATTAACGGACTGATGTTCATGTAATGATTATCTATTCAAAATTAACATAGTAAAGAACCATTTATGCGCATATGGGTTCTTACAATCTCCTGATCGTTTCCTAACTGCTTGTCCGAATGTTGCCACTTCTATTCGCCACTCCATACTTCCCAAATTGTGTTTGTGTGGTCTTCATGATCGCAGCATTCTTGACATTTTGCGGTCTCACGACTTAGCAGTTCAATTCCCAATCTCCTCTTTATTTAAATCATGTCGAACCTACTCTCTTTCACGCTTTTTTTACTTTCGCACTTATCGATTCTATCATATGGCACTTTATATTCATGTGCTACATTACTTCTTACACTACACAATTTATCGCACTCGGTTCTATAGTACGTGGCGGACGAATAGTATGCAAAACTTAATAAAAATTTTAAAAAAATAACGGAGGTATAACACGCAAAATTAACAAGGCATTAATAAAATATAGCTTAATTGCGAAATATTAAGAAATAAATAATAATAATTATATACCGAGACTAACCTTAACTTTATTAAAGCTGAAACAGAGAAGTTTGTGTTCGGTTGTTGGTTTGCTGAATATAAGGAGAAGAAGAAAAAAAAAACTAAATAAAAAATTAAATTGAAAAGTCAAATAATAAATAGGGCAATGCTTAAAGTCCTTCTTCGGAGCAGTCGCAGTGTTTGCAAAAAATGCATTGAGATGTTTCACTATTTAATCAGAGATAAGGTCGCTATAAATTTGTTACCTGAGGTTTGGCTAAACTACATCAACTTAAACTTGTAAAAATCAAAGGGGACGAATCGCTTAGGCGGAAAATTTGCAATATTAATTCATCGTGTTATGGAATTCCATAAGTCAGAACTGACAAAATTGAAAACATCAATCTGGATATTCACAACGCTAACGGAAATTTTTCACGGTTCATTAGCATATATTTTCATGGTGGATTTTATTCAGTTAAGCTCAAAGTTAGTGCGAATTGGTGTTTTCTATTTTTCACGCTATCGACTTGACTTATTTCCCATTTACTCAAAAATGCGTGCAAGCTCTAAATGACGGATTACACTCATACCACATGCTAGTTAAATTTAGCGCTAGTGCCATTCAAGAAACGAAATGTTGTAGTAGACTACAATATATCTAACTGAAAAAACTGTCGAAGTTTTTTTATAATGCTCTCACTGCTCAGCTACGCTGTACTAACTCTACATCTACAACAGGGAATGTAGCCAGCTGTATTAATTTACGCTCCGTGCTTAAAAGGTTCCGTAAAATTAACTTTCCATCTGTAAGCTAAATATATTTAAATTTAGGAACTATCATAGCAGAGAGCGGAGATTAAAGCTGTTATGATCTTAAAGCAAGTGCTTCGCATGAATGAAGCAAGGCAAATTGGAATATCTGCAAAATGCCGCGTAAAACCCGCGGCTTAATAAAATGTCTTAAAGAAATTGTTTTCGCAAAAAAATTAAAATGTCATAAAAACGAAATAACTCGGTTCTTTTGTTAAAAAGCGATTTTAACGGCCTGGTTTTTTGGGCGCGTATATATTAAAAATTGTAGTGTCTAAGGATATCCCAAAGCATAGCCTTTTATGAAATCAGGCAATGATTTTCGTTTTTCTAGTAATTTGATCAAAACAATTTATAATCATATAAACGTTCTGTTTGACATTTAATTGATTTTACTTAAAGTATTTTCATTTAATTTTACAAGAGACCATTAAATCGTTTTTTCTCTGTAATAAAAAATAGGTTGCAGCCATGACAGCTCTTACATTTTATATCGCCTTGGTCGACTAGCTTCCGCGGGTGTTAAACAGTTCGCTGAAACTGGCAAAAGTGATATATTCGACAACACTTCTGGTGATCAGCAACAGCAGTTAAAAAAGTCGATGCCATCTCAAAACATTGTTGCAAATAAGTCTGGTTTCAGCGTTTTTGATGAATTCAACTTGCCTGCTATAATAACTGGAGCTGGACGCAGTGAATCAAAATTCTTTGTCGACAGCAACCACAGCTTGATATCTCTAATGACGCGCGTTGTACCATCGCCTGATTGGTTTATCGGAATCGATTCATTCCAAGTAAGTTCGAACCAATGTACCCAATAGAATAATGAGCTTTTTTAAACTTGGCGGCGGATTGATGATAAAATTCTCGTTTTTAAGAATATCAATTAGATGATTGGTGCAATAAGCTAAAAATGAACCCCAATTAATAAGTAATTAGACCAATGCTAAATTGAAGGGAAAAGTCGACATTTTTGGCAGAGCCAATTCGATGCTTGAGATGAGCGTTGCCAGCACGAAATATTCCACAAATATTGAAAATACGGAAAGTGGTCTGATCTTATAAAATTTTCTGTGTCTGAAAATAATGAAATGATTAATCGAGTGACATTCTTTTTTGATTATATAGTCCGGAAGGTTAATTGTAGTGGAGTAGGCATATTCGATATTTGAGCAGATAAAGGGTTTTTAAACGGTCAGCCTTTTCTTTAATGAAAGCCCAGCATGGGGATTGTCCACATTGACAGTCATTGGGAGGTTCCTCGGAAGATTAGATTTACATTAATAATGCTATCGCGAAATATGAGCGCTTTTATGTGGTTCACTTATATTCCATTGGTGGCTATGTTGACGGTTTTCTTGGATCCTTTTGCAGAATAACCTGTTTTTATTTTATTTCGATTGAAGAATAAATTCACATTATCATAAGCTTCATAAAAGAAGCTAGGTTAAGCAACGAAGTTATCGACTGCTTTCTCAAAGAACATTGCAGTCGAATCTAACTAGCATCAGCATATCGAAATATGTTCGCTAGAAAATCCTGACGTTGACGTTGAGAATCAAGTGTGTATAAGTTGAAAAGTTGTGGTATTAAGACATTGGCGTTAAACCTCAGTTCATCTCAATCGAATCAAAGTCTATACAAAAGCAGTTGAGAGGATATTTAAGATGCAAAGCCGCAAATGCGGGAGTATATCAAAATCTCTTCGATTTTTCAAAGTTTTTTTAGATTAGCACAACCATAGGTTTTATTAATGTCGTCATATCCATTTTTTATCCCTTTTTCATTTCATATTGTGAAAACAACTTCGTATATGTATATATTGCTGCGCAAACGAACGGAGAAGAATGAGATTTTAGGTGTTTAAAAATATCATATGTCTATCCTTCATCATGGAATTTATGCTTTAATAAAGAAAAATAAGGAATGTGGCCTATAATTCGACTTCTCTTGCTCTTAAGAAAAACTTATCTATCTTAAAATGCCGCTAACCATTTAGTATTGTCTTGTTATGGCATCTAACAATAGCAGACATACAAGTACAGGAAAGGACCTTTAACATATCGTATTTTATACTAGCGGCGAAAAATTGCTGCTTCAATTTCAGGGCTTTCGTTACATCCTCCAACTAGAAAAGAGAAATGGCTTCCGCTGGAAGTTGGGAAGAAGGAAAGGCTACATGATTTCCAGTAGACAAGGGTTTTTTGAAGAAGTCGCGAGTTTTATGTATAGTTCAAATCAGTGTGTTTTTTTTACGGCTTATTATACGTAAACCGTCACATTCTGTCAAACCTACGCTATATTTTTATTCTAATTGTTACTTAGCACTGAGAAAAATTCGAAATTTGCCATCTCCAATCTTTCCACTCGGCTCATATTTGTCATTCCCTTATTTTGCAAAAATTAAATAAAGAATGCAACTTGGCCCAAACTTTTTCCGAATGAATTATTTCGTCTGTTTAAAATTTTAACATGATCAAAGAATTTTCATTCCAGTCAAACTAGTAGAAAGCCTTTCCCTCCAAGCCACGAATTTCTAAAAAAGCGCTGTACGAAAATTTTCAACTTTTTCCAAATTTCAACCAAAACTTATCCGTGAAGTGGATTGCTTCACATGAGATTATTATGATTTCTGAACTTCATCTAGGTTAAACGTATACATGTAACTTGATTTTTGTCGCTGGTGTGCTCTTGCAGTTGTGTTTGGGCGGTTCGTGGATTGACAAGGTTACAATTGAAATGGATCCTTTAGACGCTGGCAGCGACAATGGTTTTACTTTTACGGCCCCCAACTGGCCAACATCGCCACAAGGAGTTATTTATCGCATTACCTCAAAGTATCCCGCTCATCCCGCTGGCAGTTTCTTTTACCCGACAAACAAGCGCTTACCACCAATTGCAACAGTTCAGCTCATGAAGGTATGAACAAACTGTAATAATATCTTCATTTTTACTACTTTTGCTGTTTCATGATCCGATATGCATCGCCTTCTATTTGCAGCTTAAAGAATATGAATTGAGTGAAGTGTTTCATTTCGCTGAAGACGATCGAAAGTACGAAGTTGTACACACGCAGACTCATTTAGAAATGGAGCATAACCACGTAGAAATGAACAACGAATTGTCAGCGAGTATAGAACAAGAGAGGCAGAATGAAATAGCAAAACAACCTACATTCTTAACTGAAAAGGACCGAATACGTTCGCAGCTCTTGGCGAAAATGAATCCCTTGTAAGTATCTAAACGCAGTGTATTCCAAACGGATAAATTTAACACATTCGCAGGTAAACCATATAAAGACTGTTTTGTTATCAGCATGGGAATTGCTTTTTGTTCTAACGCCGTTCATAACTTTAATATTCTCAAAGAAAAACCATGACTCTTACTGCTTTTTTCAGTTCAGTGTTATTGTTTATATTGAGAGTGCTCATTACCAGTAATCGATTGTATTTAACGGCGTTTGTGCGCAATACACAAAAATAAATTTGAATATGTACTCCAATTGTTGAAAATCCAGATAGAGGGATAATTACGTATGAACAATTTGGCGAAAGCTAACTTTGAAGTCCGTGATTAAGTTGCAGGTTATTTGCGCGAATATTTATATGTTTGCGTTAATAAAAAAACACCTTGTAGGGATTAATAATTGGTTTTAAGATTGATAGTAACCCTGTTAAGATATGTTATGAATGTAAAAGAGCTTGTAGGCTTGCAAAATGTGGGCAGACCTGAAATTAATTTATAAATTTGTGCAGTAAAAATTCGAGTTTCTTACTAAAAATAAATTGGAGTCAGTTCGGTCTTTAGGACGGAATATTTTTCTTATTGTGAGCGCTTGTTGCATTACTATTTTTGACAAACAACGATTTAATGATACAGCAACCAAAATCGTTGTATACTTAAGGTAAAACATTTCGCTAGCAACATTTGCGAAACAAAATGATCACATCCTAGTTGAAGAAATCTAATATAAACGAACGCCATGAAAAAGCCTAGTAGAGTGTAAAAAAACCGAAAGGAACACATTTATTAAAGTTCGTCCTTTACTAAAGTACGCGTAAATGATTGATCACATTTAACTTTTCTCGCTGCAGTGGGTTTAAATCGAATCTTAAGAAAAAACTATGTTATGAACGAAATATGTACGTTATATGGGGGAATGCCCGTGTTTGCCCGGGGATTGAAATCGCATAATATGAAAACGCGTTATAAGGGTACCGCGTTATAAGGCGGATTACTGTATATGTAAGCGCATAAGCAGTAGGATTTTCAATTTTTCTCTGGTTGGACGTTTTTACTTTTGGCCTCCTCATGTGAACATTTTTTTTATAAATAAATTTTTCTTTTTTTAATGACTACCATTATATTTCTATATATCTATCTATTTATTGCAAAAAAACTTTTGTTAAAATCCTGGATCCTGGTACGTAACATTGCGTTTGAGTCTCAACTAAAGTCACCTTGCACCCTTTCTTTGCGTTTCACACACCTCGATCACTCATAAAAATACTAACTATAATATTTAAGAAAACAAGGAGGTCCACAACTTATGCACATTTATAGTTATATATTTTACCGCAATTATAAATTTTAAAATAACTTTTAAACACCCCTTAAATATTTAAAATATTTAAAATAAAGTACATACGGATATACCTGCCAGCTTCAAACCAGAGAATTTCATTGCCAGAGGCTGGATTCGCGTCCAATTTATTTTTGTTTAAATGATATTTTGGACAAAGGCGAATATCTATGAAAATTTACAAATTGAAAATAATTGTAATAAGAATTTTTTTTTAAATAAAAGTAATAACAATAATAAGGAAAATATGCGTAGTAGAAATTAGAGAGAATAATTACAACAAATATTCAGCTGGCACAAATTAATTGTAGAATTCAATTGGGTGCTAGAAATAACTTTTATATGTGTTATAAATAACAATAAAAAGTATTTAAGGGGGAAAAAAAGAAAATAAAAAGAACAAAATCCATATATAAACACAAAAAAAGAAAAACAACTAAGAAAGTTACAGAGTTATCAGAGGTCACGCAGTTAAACAGAATTTTAAACCATTTATAATGGAGTAATTTATAGCTAAGTCAAACGCTTTGCTACAATCAGTGCACATGGCAACCGTGCGCTAAATTTTCCCCTCAATGTCGCGAGTCTTTCATTTATTTCAGAAAAACCATTTCTTGTTTCCATGGAAACTTTGCAGACACCTACGTCTCGCTCTGTACATTGTGCACACGATCAACGTGATCCTTTCGATGGTCCCAAGACTGCGCCCGCTGTTATACTGGCACATCTCACATCACAGTAACGTTCACAAAGTCAACAACTGATGAACCTATATTGGCTCAAGATGGTGCAAATAAACGATCCATGTTGAATGGTAACAGACAAGATAGAATTTACGAAAAATAGAAATAAGGTTATCTCGTATTCACAATATTATCCTAAACGACGCAAATCAACGCAGATGATTGGAAAGCAACAACAACTAAGTGCTGATCACAAAATCCAAAATGATATCAACACACAGAACAATGCAATGAATGTAAATTAAAAGCAAAGTCCAACACATATAACAATTTTATAATTGTTTAGGATTTAAAACCGTTCAAGACAAAAAAAATAAAAAAGAATTACAAAATTTACACGCACAAAATAAAAAACGCGGCCATAACGCGCCCATAGAGCTGCCAGACACATACCTCTTGTATAGAGCTCAATAATTGTGCTCATTTTAATTCTTTTACTTTCCCTTATAATCTTTGATAGCGGTTGTTTATATTGTATGTCTTCAACTAGGACATCAGACTTTGTTGCGCAAATGTTGCTAATGTAGTTTCTTATCTTATATATATAACATTTTTGAATCAATTAAAACATAGTTTGCATGCGTTGTTATAGGATCATTGCATAAAGTGTTTGTTTACGTTACGTTAGTGAAAAAAAGTAGAACTTTCAAAACTGATTTTTAAAGAAAAAGATAAAAGAAAAAATTGTTTGCCTGTTCCTGGTAAGTTCGCAAATTAGTTAATAACAATTTATATACACAAAAATATTTGAAAAAAAGAAGATTTATAGCGACGATTTTTAATTTTTTGGTAGGTTATGGTCACAAAACTCAACAATGCTACGCAAAGGAAACAGGTTAAAAGAATGCTAGCAAAAGTGCCTTCCACTGCACGATATTTTAAAAAATATAAAAAATGGTGTAATATTGAATATACAAATTTCTTTCAATAAATAAACGAAAAGAACTTTTCGCGCTTCTCGCTTAACGCGTTTATTAAATTGGTCTTCCATAGCTTTGTTTTTTAAATAATTAACTTTTGTTTGCAAATATTTGCCTGTTTATTTAACTTGTTAATCTTTCTATTGGTTGTCAAATAATAAAAATGTAGATGACTAGGTTAATTTTATTTAGTTTTTTCGTTTTTCACAGCAATAATAAAAATTCAAATAATCAGTTACCCAAATCGCTGTTTTGTGTGCCAAGAACGACGCATGCAAAAATTTCAAAATTTTGAGAAACACTTGCGTAGACCTAAAACGCAACGCAAGCTATGTTTACGCATGATAAAGCCATTGTCTTCAAGCACTTTATTTTATATAAATAAAATGAAAGTAGGGGCATGTTTGAGGTTTCTCTGTTCATAAAAATCAATATTAAGTAAGCGACTATAACAGCATACATAGCGGAGGAGTTATATGCATATTTCAATAAAAATTATAAAAAAAATAATGTGGTGGACGTATAACATGCAATATTAAAAAAAAAATCCTTAATCAAATAATCACTAAAATAAATAAATGATAATAATACTTTATATCAAACCTAACCCCAACTTTATTAAGGCCCAAACAAAGAACCCTGTGCTCACATTGCACATTTTTACACATCCTACCGAATTTCTAGTTGTTAATTTGCTAAATAACGGAAGAAGAATATCATAAATCAATAAATAAACATATTAAAATTTGGAGATAATAGAATGAATTGGAATATCGTATTGCCGCTGTTATATTAAGTGTTAAAGGAGATATAATCGGCGTCAATTAAAAGTAGTATCATTAACCTCATTTCGGCTCTAAAATACAGACGAAATGAGATTAGAGTAACTTATATGAAAATGTAGATGGGGAGCATTTTAACCTGATACATTTCCAATATTGACTGGCGCTTTTACTGATTCACGTTGTATATATATTCGTTTCTTGCAGGAACGATACGTTATTCAACAAATCTGCAGACGTTCCAAAGAACGATAGAAAAGCTATTATACTTAATATAGCAAGCAGTTACGGAAATTCTAAGTCGTTGCTGGCATCATCACCATCATTAACAGGCTATCCAAGCATTGTAAAACGACATCGTGCAAAACGAGTACGAGATTGTCGTGTCAGCCATTGGTCTGAATGGTCAGTCTGTAGCAAAACTTGCGGTGTAGGCGAAATGCATCGGTATCGCAAAATTATTAAGCATGGCAAGCGTGGTGGTCGTCCCTGCCCGCCACTCATGCAATCAAAATGGTGTGGTGCGGATATAAGATGCCATTTACCTAATGCGTATTTTAATTGGTAAGGGTTTTATAGCAAGAAAATTAAATGCCGCAATTTCCTATACTTATATTTTTTGTAATTTACATTTACATATTTTGTTCATTACAATTTTCAGGTCCAACTCATGAATGTTTGTATAAAATCTGTTTTGAATGTTGTTATTTTAACTTCCATCACTATCTCATTGTTTATGTTATAAATTGACGAAGTTAACCAATTAACTCAGAAAATCAACCTCGAACACACAATTCCGAGTTGGAAAACAATGGACAACTTGCAAAAGCAAAACTTAAAAGCGTATTCTCTTAGTATCAAACGTTATGAATTACAATACGTAACTAATGTATGAGATACACGAAATGTAATACAAACTAAAAAAAAAAAACTACGGGTGACTTACAGAAATCTTTTCAAAGATTAACATGCTGAGCGAAAGCAAATTTTACTTTCTTTTCGCAAGAACTATAACAGAAAGCGCTGAATATACGCGTATTTTTCGACTCAATCTTACGCTAATCATTCTCTATGAACCGATTCCCCACAAACGGAGCTTGGAATTGATATAGTACATTCCTCAGTGATGGGTATAAAAGAAACTTAAAGTAACATTCGAAAAGATTTCACCATTCTCGCCTCTGGAATTAATATTTCCTTCACCTTAGGATCTTATGTTAACGTTTTTTTAAATATGAAAGAACAGAGCACTACATTTTATTAGAAGTGGGCGTCCTAACGTCCTAGTCCAAACAGGCCTAAAAGACGTTAAATAGCGGCTTTTTTAAAATTAACTGCAATCATGACTCTGTTGTAATGACCAAATGCCCTGCTGTACCTTTCCTCGCACTTCAATCTTATAACCATCTCAAACGTCGAATCCTTCTCTTATTCAACAACGCACTAAGTTAATTAAGAAAGCACCAAATTAACTTATGGCATCTTCTTAAAAGATATTCAAATATCTGACGTTTTATTTAGAAAAAGGAAACGGCGATGGCATGGGATAGAATGAACAAACTAGTAAAGACTTCCCACACTTAATTTTTACAATTCTTCCTCTTGCTCATATAATTTTTACAATTCTTCCTCTTGCTCATATATTTTACAATTCTTGTTCTTGCGCCAAATTCATCAAAAACTCCAAAATGCAACTAAACATTTCAAAAACTTAATTTACTCGTAAAATAATTTATTACTCTCTATATTTTACTTTAGTGGCATTTCCGTAATAAAGTAAAAGTTTTAGTAATAGAATTTGGATCGAATTAACCTTACCTTCATTAAATTTCATGGCACGTAAGAAATTGTACAAAAATATGCGCATGCGTGTTAGCACAGTAAGATAGACCAGCGCCAACAACCTACAACTGGATATCGTTCTTTCAATTACCAAAATACTGATTTTGATCTGGTTCTATTATCATCCATTCAACTAACTTTTTTGTAGTACCCTGGCCAAAAATAAAACGTTTCCTTACTTTTTTCCTTATTTATTCCGTTAGGAAATTAATAGCCTTTGATGTAACCAGCTCGTTGACAGCTGCCATATAACCTATTATAAATTCTAGTCGGGTCTTCTTCCCTTTTATCAGATCAATGCATTCTCTAAGCGAATTTTCACCTAAGCTTGTCTCTTCAGTAAACAAATAAATCCTACTAAGATCCCCACACACGAACACTTGAATGACATGATAAACTAAATCATCTTCAGCTAAAACAGACATCAGAGAATTTTTAAGCATTTATTTCATTTCTAATAGCAGATTCCTAGCCGAGTAGTGCGATTTATACGGATCATCTGCTGGGTCATTTTTACTTTCTTCATTTACAAGTTTCATTGCTTTCTCATAAATTTCCTGGCATGCGAGGTATTTAAGTAATTAGGAGAAATGTTGCTTATAAGCCGGCGACATCTATATTTTATCAAAAGAACAACATAGCACCAAATACATCGATATCCTAAAAGCTATTTTCGATTTTCGAGTATATATAGAAAACACCTACTTGATACAAAAAATCTGCTGACACACGTAAATAAATCCCTATCTCAAAATGCGCAGACACTTAGCATTTTAGCACTTACTTTCTCGGGTAAGTACCACCGGAAAAAAACTCTTGTAATATTTTATTCTCAACTCACAAGAAGGATTGCACATAACAAATCACAGGGACAACTTCCATTTCCAAAAATAATGGTTAGCATATTCTCAGTACTGACGGCTCTAAGAGTTCTTGACTATGCAGCAGTACATACTGCAGAGCAAGTCCAAGTGAACCATATGCTACACGGCAGTACGTCAACATTTACAACCAAAACTAAAGCAATCTTAGAACAGTTATTGACCGATAGTGTTTCGTTGTTAGAGTTATTTCAAACATTGGTTTACTGGGAAATGAGTAGTTGGCGTTGACGCTAAATCTGAAAATTCCTCGCTTGTTATTATGGAGGGCGTAATGGGGAAGATAAAAGAAATATTGGAAAAAAGTTTCCTTTTAATTACCGCCAAAAATCGACCATCCACGCTACTCTAATATTAATTCTAATCCAGTTTCATTACTGCATCCAACAAACTTTGAAAAACTCAGTCATAGCATTTGCAGGAGTCCGCCTATTTTGTGACTGTTAAAATATTTCTACATTTCGAAGGTTCACATTTAGTACGAATAACCGAATCGAATCTTGAAATTGCCTACGGAGAAAATTATTAAAAATTATTTTAGATGAAACCGTGACTATACACACTTCGCTTGGAAGGTTTAAACAGAACGCTAGGACAATGTTAATATCGATTTTTGAAATTTTTATTGAAACATTTAATTAGTATGCACCATCAAATGTTTTAATAGGAATCAAGCAATTTGTGGCTGAGTCTTTATCCGTCAATTTTTCAATTCATGTTATTCTAGATTTAAGTTTTGTAAAAGAAAAACAGGAAACGTTAGCAAGCAAAAATCGCTCTAAAAATAATAGGCCTTTTTTGAAGATTGTAAGTAACAACTGAGCCAACAAGAAAGTAGCAAAAGTAGGAAAACGTATTTGAAATAAACCAATATATATAATAATAAGCCGATTATTTCCCCTTTCTATGCAAATGTAGATAATGTACCTAGTGACTAAGAGAAATATTGTCCTTTAAATCAAATATTTGTTGGTGATATGGAAGGAAAAAATTTCATATAAAATAGTGTACGTACAGTACATAAATAGATACACTAATATATTTAAGAATTATTTTATAGAAAAACAATAATGATAGGTCTCACAACCAGGAAATCCTAAGTTTTAAAATCAGAATGCCATTCACATATAGGAGGGCACAAAGAATATTTGATTAAGTAAAAATACAATCGTTATAATATACGTATATAATAAATAAACGTATTACAACTTTTGTATAAATAAATGATAAATCAGATTAAATTCATACAAAATTAGTTTTATTGGTTGAAATATTCCAATGTCATTTGAATGGAGTTTTACATAATTTTAAGGTAAAGTAAAAAAAGCTAAACCAGAGTTAAGCGAAACACCATGACAACGCATTACGCAAATTCAATTAAACACATAACCTGCGTGTACTGCTAAAGCAAACCAAATGGCTGGCGTTAATACAGTATAAAATTTTTTGAAAAATAACTTTTTTTAAAGTATTTTTTTTTTTTTTTGGTATGTTGAACAGAGATGGACTAAGCCAATAGATTTGTGGCTTATAGGTCCAAATAATAAACTGTTGTAATTTTTAGTCACGATTATGTATAAACCGTAACAAAAAAATAAGAGCGGCCGTAATAACTGGAGTGAGCATGTTACATGTAATTGTGTGTGCGTGTGTGTAAGGGTGCTTGTTGAGTTCTTGAAAGTCCGACAGTGTTGCAAACTTTGGCTGAAAACGAAAAGGAATGTCATGGAAATTGAAAATGATTGAACGCAAAAAAAAAAAGAAAAAACAAAAAAAAAAGGAAAGAGGAGGAAAAACAAAAATTCTAAAAGGATAAATTGGCTTTTCTAATAAAGCAAGTTAGTTCCCCGAGACGACGTACATTTTTTGCTGCAAAGAGATCGAGGAGACAGCCATATAACTTGAAGAAGTTAAAGGAATCTCTAATGCCATCAAGCCTGTGACATCTGAAGATTAGATGCTCAGCAGACTCTTTTTTTTTTTTTTTTTTTGTTTGTTTAGAGATGGATTGGACCAGTTAAGTTAATGTTAGATCCATAATCCAGAAACGAAGTTGAGAGCGATTGATGAAAAAATTTAAGCATAGGTAGACTGATGTGGCAGAATGTTCGCAATGAGAGGCTCTGTTCCGCTGTCAATCCATAAATCACCGTCCTTGTTACTGTACTGTCAAGATCCGGCTAATAATGCCGATAAAAGAAAAAGTGTAGGCGATTCGTGATTGTAATAGAAATACTAAATGTAAAATTAGAATGAAAACTCAGCTGATTTGATAAAGGCAGTCAGTTGCTTCAAATGCCTAAAGTTACCAGCACGAAAAATTTCATATAGATTGTTATACAGGTTAAATATACTGAAAGATTGTCTAAGGATGTCAAACCTCCTGCACTCAAAAATAAGGTGCTCGGCAGACTCAGTAATATTGCAATCCTCACAGATGTCAGAGGAGGAGACTTTCATCATTTTAAAATAGACCTTGTCGTAGGTGTGATTACTCATAAGACGGTGAAGAACTTTAAATTCCCATGTTGTGAATTTTCCTTTAGGTAGAAGCGTGGGTGTCAAAAAAGGGTAAATTTTGTAGAACAGCCGGTCACTTTTTTCTCTAGCTAAAACATGATACTCATCTTTCCATTCTTTTATGATGAGTTTTTTGACTAGCAGAAAAGCTTCGCTGGGGGGGTAGTTTATGGACAAAACTGTACCATCGAACCTAGCTTGACGAGCATGGAAGTCAGCTTTTTCATTGATACTAAAACCGCAGTGACCTGGGATCCAGATGATGTGGCATTTTTCAATACTTGTGTCTTTTAAAAGGTTGTAGATATCGAAGACATACTTATTGAATGGGTCTTTGTTCTTGATTAAAATTAGAACAGATTTGCTGTCAGAGAAAACTACAAATTTTTTCAGCTTAATTTCAGATGCGTGGATGATTGCTTGTCTGATGGCCAGAAGTTCAATGAAAGTGGATGATAGTTCTTGTAGAACTTTAAATTTTCCTATAAGTAAGTTTGGGTATTCAATAATTGAAAAACTAGAGATGTCCGAATTGATAGATCCATCCGTTGCGTATATTTTGAAGTTATTTTCGACGAAGTGGTTAAGTTTTTGCAGACAAGCGATTCGAAGACAAGACCCTGATCGATTTTTTTTTGAGTTTGTGATTGAATTAAGTAAGTTTAATTCAACTACGCATTTATCATGAATAATATTATTCCAGGAGGGTACTGAGTTAACTTTATTGAAGATGTTACTGAATTTTTTGAAGCAGTTAGAGTAACTACTGATGACATGATTGTGTCTGGAAGCGACCTCGTCAAAGAAGGCAGGTCTGAAGATTTTTACCTTGAAAAGTTCTTTTGCAGTTACAAGATAAATTCTCTTAGCAACGGGGAGTTCATAAGAGATGGAACGTAAAATTGATGTTGGTGTTGAGGGGGACAAATCGGTACAACGTCTTAGGATTGAGTGTTGAAAGGTTTGTATTTTTTTTAATGTATACGCAGGAGCGTTACACGATGTAGAGTAGGGATATTCAATTTTGGATCTAACAATAGATTTGTAAACGTTTAATGCTTTCCTAGGTGGGAGTCCAGTGTGAATGTTGGTCAGAAGTTTGATGACATTTGAGCCTGTGTTGCAATTTTCGAGGCTATCCTTGTAATGCTCATGCGTGGTTAAACTTGAGTTGATTATTCTGCCCAAAAATTTAAAAGAGGAAGACGGACTGATTTTTATACCATTGATTGTAATGTAAAAAATTTTTTTGGGACCCTTAGCAAAGCGAACGACTTTTGATTTTTCCGGGTTGAAAGTTAGATTTAAGTCTGCACAAAGTTTGTGAAAAAGATTGGCTTTAG